AATCACCATTTCGAAAATCACCATTTCGAAAATTACCATTTGGGAAACACAGGATTTAGCAATAGCCCATTTCCCAGTCGCAGAAAAAATGATTTTCGTTGGCTGGTTTGAGGTTCGGGGGTCTATTTTTCCACTGGAGATATGATTAATTTCATCATAGACACCACTAAAACAATTTCTATTACATCACTAGTCATATCCGAGAAAAGCCGAGGTTTTTCGACACTGCATTTTTATGCCTATTTGAAGAACGGGTCTTTTCGAACTGGGGATTTTTTCGAAATGGTGATTTTCGAAATGGTGATTTTCGAAATGGTGATTTTCGAAATGGTGATTTTCGAAATGGTGACTTTTCGAAATGGTGATTTTCGAAATGGTGTCTTTTCGAAATGGTGTCTTTTCGAAATGGTGATTTTCGAAATGGTGATTTTCGAAATGGTGATTTTTCGAAATGGTGATTTTCGAAATGGTGATTTTCGAAATCGTGACAGGGAATCGAGAGGGAGGGAGGGAGGGAGGGAGAGAGAGCGCGAGAGCGAGAGCGAGAGGGAGAGAGATTGTCATATAATAAAATCAAAAGCAATATTTAGATCACCAGCCATTGCTGCAAATTCGACTGGTAAATATGATTCGACGTTGGAACATCCGATTTGCCTCCCCGTTGTCCCGCCCACATTGATAGGCGTGTGCCGGCTGATACAGATTTATTACATTTTACGGGTGAGCTTTCGAGGGTTTTTTTTTTGAGGAATCCAGGGGCGGGCTAGCAGAGGTTCCCTAGGAACTTGCTGAGCCCTTGAGAGCAAGCTAGCGAAGATTTTTGAGGCAGCGGAGAATCGATTTAGGGCTTAATTGCTGAGATCCGTTGATTTTTTGACAGGCTGCATAGATTACTTGAGGTACTCAAAATACTAGATTTTTCTAGGTCTGCTTGGAAGACGAAAAAGGCAACGAAACCCTGCATCTCGATTTTCCACTTACCGTCGCGACGGTTCCGTATCGGATTCCGAATGCACCACCTCCTCCCATTGACTATGGTAGGCAGTTCAAGCTGTCACCATCCCTTTAAAATCCAGATTTCTGCTCGAATCACGTTGAGGGCGGGAAATACGTGAGCCCGGAATTCCGGTTGGGGCAGGTTTATGATGGAGAGAACGTCATCGGGGAGGATGAGGTGAGTGGAGACAGGGAGAGAGAAAGAGAGAGAGAAGGAGAGAGAGAGAGAGAGAGAGAGAGAGAGAGAGAGTGAGAGAGAGGAGAATTGATAGAATCATTTTTAGGTTGTACTCTACCGCCCGGTTTACGCGCGATTGTCAGACCGGAAACCTGGGACTTCGCCGCGATACAGCAGGGAATTCCGGGGCTCGGTACGTTTTTGTCTCTCTCTCTCTCTCTCTCTCTCTCTCTCTGTCTCTCTCTCACTAACTCCTCTCTTTAGTGCGCAAAAATCGCCGACAGTTGCCAATCAATAATCACGGAAGTGAATGGTGGCCAAAGGCGGGTCAGCAGCGTCCACTCACCAGCAGAGGAGAAACCGGATGTGGAAAAGGCAAGCTAGCAGAGATTCTTTAAGAAAATATTCCCAGCAAATCTTTTCGAAGCGGGGGTAACTAACAGTGATTCTTTGAGGATAAATTTTCGAAGTCGGGCAAACTAGCAAAGATTCTTTCGGAAGCCAATTTCATGACCGTCAAAAGGCGCCTATTCCCGAACCTTAAAAATTCCAGACCCTTGTCCAGCGCGTCGACTCGCTCGACATCGAGGCCATCCAGCCGTTAATTCACAAGAAACCGGCCTAGCCACCGTAACGGCTACCGTAACCTACTGTACACTACCGTACCCCACCGGAGGTTGTAAAGTTGCTCACCCCAACTGGCCGCGCCACGCTGATCTTATTGTATTTAATCATTATTTTTCAATATTTGATCTTTTTGGATTTTCGGTTATTTTTCTGGTACGAGGCAATACGAGACGCTACCATACTCAACCGGATTTGGGCGTACTGTACCATAAGCTGCCGTACGATGCCCGTAATGTGCCGTACCTTAGCGTACCTTGCCGTACGATATAGCTCTTTAAGATACGGTACCATTCTGCAACTTACACGGTCGTACCGTAGCGTACTCAAACGTACCGTACCATACCCTACCGTATTCTATCGTACTTTATCGTATTTTTACCCCCCAAATACTGATTCTCGGTGTCGATGAGATTACGCGACGTTTTTCCTCGTTTCAGAGTATTAATTTTAGCATCATTTTTTCATATCACATTCCAAAAGATTAGTGCAAATTTTAGTGGTACCACCCCCTTAAACATGCGATTATTTTCGAGTTTCAAAAAGTCTCTTTTTTTTAAACATTCCTGAGCGATCTCAACGAAAACCCCGATTACCAAAGATTTAAAAAATGCATAATAAATTGTAAATTCATTATCAATGAAAACTTATGAAAATGGCACGGAATCAACACGATTTTTACTCTAATTTTATGGGTTTTCTTGTGATTTTGTTTTGCCATAGAGTGCCAATGATAACAGCAAATTACGCGCGGCAACACGCAAAGGACAGCAACCAAAAAAGAACGGCGAGAAAAAGCCGGTAATTGGGGTGAGTGGAACGCGCTTTTCCTGGCAAATGGCAGCTGATACGAACACCTGGAAAAGCGTATATAAGCCATTTTCTATGAAAAAATGCGCACGAAAAATGCTGTCAATATTTGGAATATTGGCTTTATTCGGACTACTGCCGATGATCCAGGCTCAAGAGAATCCGGGTACGAGCTTTCAGGCTTGGGCTTAGGCCGAAGCGTCGGCTTGGCTTAGGCTTGGCTTAGGCTTGTGCTTAGGTTAGGTTTAGGCTTGGATTAAGCTTGGCTTTGGATTAGGCTGAAGCATCAATCCTCCTTTGCATGTTCCTCAATTCCAGCGACAAAATTCTTGCGCGTCGACCAGAATCACGATCGAAGGCTGTCCTTTGATGAATTTTTACACATTGAGCCGCTCTACGAAAGGGAAAGAAGAGCCGAATTCGAGCATTTGGATACAAACAGTTGGTTCTCTCTCTCTCTCGCTTTCTCTCTCTCTCTATCTCGTTCTCTCGCTCTCTCTCGCTCCAACCTTCTTTTTTAGAAGATCGTCGCGTGTCCCGCCAAGAATTCGATGCCCACCATAAGCAACACGAGCGCCATTCCGACAAGCTACGGTGAGTCCTGAAGCCCTTACAGTACCGTAGCGTTTTCCAGATGCCGTTGCACGTTTTTAGCCAAATTTTAGAAACGCGTACTTTGGCCGGGTTTTCCAAGAGTTTGACATTGATGAAGATGGTGGATTGGATCAAAATGAGGTGAAGCTGGCAGTGATGCTTTAGGAAGGGGCCAGCTAGCAGAGATTATTGGGATTAACATTACTCGTTTTAGGTTCGCCATCTTCTAAAAGTCCGCTTCCTGGTGCGACCTCGAACAAACTTCCCGACCGACCATCTTCTACGGCTTCGACACCAACCACTCTGGCGGCCTCGACCTCGACGAGTATATGAGATTCGACTCCGGGTTTCCGTTTGATCAGGTGAGAGAGAGGTGGAAGGCGACTATACCATAGTTTCCAGTCCGATCCGCTGAACGCCCAGAACGCCGTCGTGGACAACTCCATCTTCTAACAAGACATCGGAGCCGACAGCTTTGTCACCCCGCCGCCCGAATTTCAAAAAGTATAATTGCCGTATTCCCTATTTCCGTCATTTCCTGTTTTGCAATGATTTTTGTACAAAATGTGCCAAAATAAACTATGAATTCCGAAGCGAGATAGAGAGCGAGAGAGAGAGAGAAAGACGGAGAGATAGGGCGAGAGTGAGAGAAAGAAAGAGAGAGAACTTTTCACGGCTTCCGTGTTGCCGTCAGCAAAATATTTATCGCAGAAGCTCAAGAAGTACGCGTCAGTCTCCAAAATCCGCTAGAATCTATTCTGGACATGGACTCCCTAATCCCCTGAGTGGCACCCAATCAGTTTTCGATTCGCGAAATTTTTGTAGCATACTTTGGTCAAGCTAGCAGAGATGTTTAGAAAGGTGTCGTGCGCGTTTTCAGGATTTTCATGGACAGGGCATGTCTATTTTTGTGTACGTTGTGCTGTGACATATTCGAGCCAAAAAAATGTTCGCCCGGTTGCAGCTAAAAACAGGACAACGTTCGCAATTTCCCGGAAATTTTCCACTAGTTTCTTCACGCCGAGGGGAAAGAGAGCGAGAGAGAGAGAGAGAGAGAGAACTATTTCTCTGTCCCTCATGTTGCCATGGCACCTATAAAAAGGCGGGTATTTTCTTGCTTTTGCACCCGGATCCTGGCCCCGAGTTTGGCAAGTACAGCTACGGTTTTTGACGGGAAGCCCTTCCATTTTCTGCGTTCATACACTAAGAACTCATTTCTTTCTTTTCAGTCCTTTTAAGCCCAATTTTCTTTTCGAGGCAATTCAATCCTTAGACTGCTTCAAAAGCTTAGCTTATTCCGCAACTCTGCTTATGCAATTCAATTGAATTTTTGTAGTAGGTTTGATACATTTAGATTAACTTCAATTTTACTTAATTTTTTACGATTTTTTTGTAAATTTCAGCGACAACTCTTTTTTAGATTTTCACACCCCATCTGTTCCATATTTTTTTCTTATCAATCCAAATCCAAAGATACCATCGGCCGGCCGTTGATCAGTGCTCTCGCCGTCTGCGTCCACTGCTCTCCAGACGCCTCGGAGCTCAACAGGTGGGATGCGTAGGGGATGAACGCCGAAAATCCCCGAGCCACCCCGCCACCCCCGCCCAACAATACTGTGGTACGAGTGGACCGGTGGTCATGGTAGGTTTCTTGGTTCTGGTCTCTTAACGGGGGCGCTTCCTTCGCTCTCTCTCTCTCTCTCTCTCTCTCTCTCTCTCGCTCCATCTCTCTCACACCCTATTTGCCCGGCATAAAAAAACTCCAAAATTTAGCTTTTCACACTCCCAATTTCAGACGATGTCTCCTTCTCTACTCCTGCCCCTATTTTGCGCCCTATCTACCGTATCCCCCGCCTACAAGATCCTCGTGTTCGCTCCAACAATCTCCGCCTCGCACATGATCTCGAATGGGCGGATCGCCGACGCGTTGGCCAAGGCCGGCCACGATGTGGTAAGCCAGAAAACGGGATTTTTTTAGGTTTTAAACAGACTTGGAAAACAGTTAGTACCACGGATTTTAGGTGCTGTTTGAGCCGGACTTTCTGAACATGTGGCACCGGGTGAAGAATGCTGACCTTGCCCGGAAATGGCCGGTTTTCGGGTTCAGCGACGTACTGGTACGGGCTGGTACTGGGTTTTCGGCCGCGTTTGCAGACGAGAGCACATTTACTGTAGGTTTATCTCTCTTTCTCTCTATCTCTCTCGCTCGCTCGCTCTCTCTCTCTCTCTCTCTCTCTGTCTTTCTCCTTCTCTTCCGTTCCCTCCCTCTCTCTCTTCCCAACACTTTCGTTTTAGTACACAAGTGCCATGCGCGACTTCACGAAGGCGTTCACGGCATGTTGCGGAGGTAAAATTCAAATTTTAAGTAAAAAAATATCTGTTTAGAACTGCTAGACAAAATGGAGGAGCTGGAAAAGCTGAAAGCCGAGAAGTTCGACGCATTTTTCGGGGAGCAGCTGAATGGATGCGGACACGGACTGGCGGAATATCTGGGGATCAAGCGAAAATTCTGGATATCGAGGTACGCTATCTCTCTCTCTCTCTCTCTCCTAATCCCTCTCTTTCAGTTGTCCCATAATGGATCATATGTCATGGATTATCGGCCTTCCCCACCCACTGTCCTACCTACCATCCGTCGGAAATGCCGATTTTGGCGATCGTCCAACGTTTTCGGAACGGTTTCAGGTATCTATTAAGTGAGATCTATCTTCTTTGCGCACTAATGGTTCTAAATTCGATCAAAACTCAGCTATTTTTTTTTCTAGAACATCATCGAGCATCTTGCCAACCAGATCGGCTTCGGCTACTACTCGCACTACGCCCCAATCGATCGCGAGTTCCGGAAGCGATTTGGGCAAGTTTTAACGGGATCTGTGCAGGCTAGCCGGGATTCTTCAGGAAAAATTTGGCGACCACAATTTTAGACCGGATTTCCCGTCGATAACCTCAATTGAACGATCGTCTGACGTCATCTTTGTCGCTACTGACGAGTTAATCGATTTCCCGAGGCCGATATTCCCTAATATCATTCATATTGGTGGGCTGGGGGTGGAGAATGACGTCGTGAAGCCGCTGGATCAGGTGATTTTTTGGATTTCCTAAAGAAATTCGGCTATCCGGCAATTTCCGAAAGAATCTTTGCAGCCTGCCTTTTCCTAAAAAATCTCTGCTAGCCTGCTCGTATTATTCCCGTCATTTCCAGAAGTTTGCCCTCGAAATGGAGAAAGGAAAAGCAGGAGTGGTCTTCTTTTCTTTCGGCTCAAACGTGAACACCTCTCAACTGCCCGCTGAAGTCATGAAAACATTGATCGACGTCTTCAAGTCGTTCGCCGATCACCACTTCATCGCCAAGATCGATCGTTACGATAGCGTAAGTCTACCATTTCTTGGAGCCGCTTTCCAAGCTTGGACACCTCAAGAATCTCTGCTAGTTAGCCACGGCCAATTCACAAGCCCTTGAAACAAAACAATATTCAGGTGTCACCCCTATTCGCGGAGGGAGCAGGAAACGTTGTTCTGACCCAATGGGCGCCACAAAGCGCTTTATTAAGTGAGTATAACAGCTAAGCCTAAGCCTAAGCCTCAGCCTCAGCCTTAGCCTAAGTCGATGTCTAAGCCTTAGCCTACGCCTACGCCTAAGTCTAAGCCCAAGCCTAAGCCCAAGCCTAAGTCTAAGTCTAAGCCTAAGCCTAAGCCCAAGCCAAGCCCAAACCTAAACTCTCTTTCAGAACACCCACGTCTAAAATGCATGATCGCCCACGGTGGCTACAATTCTATTATGGAGGCCGCACATGCCGGAAAACCGATGATTACGATACCATTCTTTGCCGATCAATTCAGGTACGTAAACTTTTATCCTGAAAGACTTTGGATCCAGAAACGGTCGCTTGCTTGAGAAAAACGGTTGGGGGATCCCGGTTCGAAGGCAGGATTTGTTGGCTGGAGGGCAGAAGCTGAAGGCTGCACTTGAGGAGATGCTCAACAACACGAAGTAGGGAAGAGAGAGAGAGGGAGAGAGAGAGGGAGAGGGAGAGGGAGAGAGACAGAGAGAGGGGAGAGAGAGCTAGAGTGAGAGAGAAATAATCGTGCCTTTCAGGTATGCCGAAGGTGCCCTCCGAATTCAAGCCCTCCTCAAAGCCAAGCCCTTTTCGGCCGCGGAGAAATTGATTAAGTGAGTTATAGCATCCGGCTTGAATAAATCTAGCTACAACGTTTCCAGAAAAACACCTAACACTACTCCTAGATGGACCGAATTCGCTATCGCCTCCGGCGGCCTTCCCGAATTGAAAACGCCGGCCGGCGAGCTCGGCTGGGTAGTCACCTATAATTTAGATATTTTGGTTTGTGTTTTCCTGTTTGCAATGTTTTTGTTGTACATATTGGTTCGGGCAATTCGAATTTTGATTTCGCGGCTATCTTTTGTGATTTCAGCCGGAAAGCGGAAGAAGATCGAATAAATTATTTGTAGTCTCTACGATGGCGTCGACACTCAAAACGCAGGCTAAGCCTAAGCCAAGCCTAAGCCAAGCCTAAGCCAAGCCTAAGCCAAGCCTAAGCCAAGCCTAAGCCAAGCCTAAGCCAAGCCTAAGCCAAGCCTAAGCCAAGCCTAAGCCAAGCCTAAGCCTAAGCCTAACAAGGGAAGTGCACGACCGGCCCACGAGAAATCGACACGAGACATAGTGGATCTGATAGAATCGGACACGGGGATTCCGAATCTGTAATCAGAATTTGCTAAATAAAACGGAGAAAAAAGTTATGAAGCTTCAAAGTTGGCAAAATTGCAAAAAACCGTACTTTTAAGGGCCCGTAAAAACCGGTGGAACGGAATTGAGGAGAAAAGAATTAGTGCAGTTTGTTCAGCAGAAAAAGCGCTTTCGAATGAGCTGTAACACGTAGCATTTGCAAACAATTCACCGAAAAAGGTTGTTTTGGATTCACGGGCAAGGGTATGGCCTGTCAAGTTCATAGAAGATATTTCCGCGAAATCATCGTAAACTTAAAGTAAGATAGCTCATTCGAAAGCGCTTTTTCTGCTGAACAAGATGCACTAATGGGTTGTGGCAAATTTCCATTCCCTGCGCCTTTACAGGCCCATAAAAGTCCGATTTTGCGCGATTTTGCCAACTTTGAAGCTTCATAACTTTTTCCTCCGTTTTATTTAGCAAATTCTGATTACAGATTCGGAATCCCCGTGTCCGATTCTATCAGATCCACTATGTTTCGTGTCGATTTCTCGTGGGCCGGTCGTGCACTTCCCTTGTAAGCTGAGGGTCAATCGTTGGCCTATTCAGTGGAATGCTTTGGGAACCCCCTCCACACTAGTGGGCCAGGTGGGGGGCGGGTGCGAAGCAAGCAGAGTAGCCCGTCCTGCGATTCCGCTACGAAATAGCGTCCGGAATTCGGAAACGCCCGATTTGGCTGAATTGAGGATTAGGGGGCCTTCGAGCTGCTGTTGCGCCAAGGAGCGATGTGACGGCCGAGCCAGTTAGCAATCCGGAATCAGCGTTCCAAAGCGCAGGAATGGTCTGCTTACATTGATCGGAAGTGCGCGGCCCGTTTTTGAAAAAATCCATGTGGTCCCCCCTTTAGTCGTAAACCTTCAAAAATAAAAGTTTCAAAAAATCGTAGCAATTAAACCAGGGCCTCCGGGGCTTCGAAAGAAACGGTTTTCGGTACTATTTTTGGTGCTCTTTCAGCTCCACATTGAAGTGCGTGATGAATTTCTCGAAATTTTTTTGGTAAATTCCGAAAAAATCCATGTGGTCCCCCCTTTAGTCGTACACCATCAAAAATAAAAGTTTCAAAAAATCGTAGCAATTAAACCAGGGCCTCCGGGGCTTCGAAAAAAACGGTTTTCGGTACTATTTTTGGTGCGCTTTCAGGTGCACACATCAAAGCGATTTCGCGCGGTCGATTTCTTGCGGAATGGGGCTTGGAAGGCCTGGTAGACGAAGGCTGCCTAGTTGCAACATTCAAAAAATCGTAGCAATTAAACCAGGGCCTCCGGGGCTTCGAAAGAAACGGTTTTCGGTACTATTTTTGGTGCTCTTTCAGGTGCACACATCAAAGCGATTTCGCGCGGTCGATGTCTCGCGGAATGGGGCTTGGAAGGCCTGGTCGACCAGGGCTGCCTAGTTGCAACATTCAAAAAATCGTAGCAATTAAACCAGGGCCTCCGGGGCTTCGAAAGAAACGGTTTTCGGTACTATTTTTGGTGCTCTTTCAGGTGCACACATCAAAGCGATTTCGCGCGGTCGATTTCTCGCGGAATGGGGCTTGGAAGGCCTGGTCGACGAAGGCTGCCTAGTTGCAACATTCAAAAAATCGTACAATTAAACCAGGGCCTCCGGGGCTTCGAAAGAAACGGTTTTCGGTACTATTTTTGGTGCTCTTTCAGGTGCACACATCAAAGCGATTTCGCGCGGTCGATTTCTCGCGGAATGGGGCTTGGAAGGCCTGGTCGACGAAGGCTGCCTAGTTGCAACATTCAAAAAATCGTAGCAATTAAACCAGGGCCTCCGGGGCTTCGAAAGAAACGGTTTTCGGTACTATTTTTGGTGCTCTTTCAGCTCCACATTCAGTGCGTGATGAATTTCTCGAAATTTTTTTGGTAAATTCCGAAAAAATCCATGTGGTCCCCCCTTTAGTCGTAAACCATCAAAAATAAAAGTTTCAAAAATCGTAGCAATTAAACCAGGGCCTCCGGGGCTTCGAAAGAAACGGTTTTCGGTACTATTTTTGGTGCTCTTTCAGGTGCACACATCAAAGCGATTTCGCGCGGTCGATTTCTCGCGGAATGGGGCTTGGAAGGCCTGGTCGACCAGGGCTGCCTAGTTGCAATATTCAAAAAATCGTAGCAATTAAACCAGGGCCTCCGGGGCTTCGAAAGAAACGGTTTTCGGTACTATTTTTGGTGCTCTTTCAGGTGCACACATCCAAGCGATTTCGCGCGGTCGATTTCTCGCGGAATGGGGCTTGGAAGGCCTGGTCGACCAGGGCTGCCTAGTTGCAATATTCAAAAAATCGTAGCAATTAAACCAGGGCCTCCGGGGCTTCGAAAGAAACGGTTTTCGGTACTATTTTTGGTGCTCTTTCAGGTGCACACATCAAAGCGATTTCGCGCGGTCGATTTCTCGCGGAATGGGGCTTGGAAGGCCTGGTCGACCAGGGCTGCCTAGTTGCAATATTCAAAAAATCGTAGCAATTAAACCAGGGCCTCCGGGGCTTCGAAAGAAACGGTTTTCGGTACTATTTTTGGTGCTCTTTCAGGTGCACACATCCAAGCGATTTCGCGCGGTCGATTTCTCGCGGAATGGGGCTTGGAAGGCCTGGTCGACCAGGGCTGCCTAGTTGCAATATTCAAAAAATCGTAGCAATTAAACCAGGGCCTCCGGGGCTTCGAAAGAAACGGTTTTCGGTACTATTTTTGGTGCTCTTTCAGGTGCACACATCCAAGCGATTTCGCGCGGTCGATTTCTCGCGGAATGGGGCTTGGAAGGCCTGGTCGACCAGGGCTGCCTAGTTGCAACATTCAAAAAATCGTAGCAATTAAACCAGGGCCTCCGGGGCTTCGAAAGAAACGGTTTTCGGTACTATTTTTGGTGCTCTTTCAGCCCCACATTGAAGTGCGTGATGAATTTCTCGAAATTTTTTTGGTAAATTCCGAAAGATCCATGTGGTCCCCCCTTAAGTCGTAAACCATCAAAAATAAAAGTTTCAAAAAATCGTAGCAATTAAACCAGGGCCTCCGGGGCTTCGAAAGAAACGGTTTTCGGTACTATTTTTGGTGCTCTTTCAGGTGCACACATCAAAGCGATTTCGCGCGGTCGATTTCTCGCGGAATGGGGCTTGGAAGGCCTGGTCGACGAAGGCTGCCTAGTTGCAACATTCAAAAAATCGTAGCAATTAAACCAGGGCCTCCGGGGATTCGAAAGAGACGGTTTTCGGTACTATTTTTGGTGCTCTTTCAGGTGCACACATCAAAGCGATTTCGCGCGGTCGATTTCTCGCGGAATGGGGCTTGGAAGGCCTGGTCGACGAAGGCTGCCTAGTTGCAACATTCAAAAAATCGTAGCAATTAAACCAGGGCCTCCGGGGCTTCGAGAGAAACGGTTTTCGGTACTATTTTTGGTGCTCTTTCAGCTCGACATTGTAGTGCTTGATGAATTTCTCGAAATTTTTTTGGTAAATTCCGAAAGATCCATGTGGTCCCCCCTTAAGTCGTAAACCATCAAAAATAAAAGTTTCAAAAAATCGTAGCAATTAAACCAGGGCCTCCGGGGCTTCGAAAGAAACGGTTTTCGGTACTATTTTTGGTGCTCTTTCAGGTGCACACATCAAAGCGATTTCGCGCGGTCGATTTCTCGCGGAATGGGGCTTGGAAGGCCTGGCCGACCAGGGCTGCCTAGTTGCAACATTCAAAAAATCGTAGCAATTGAACCAGGGCCTCCGGGGATTCGAAAGAAACGGTTTTCGGTACTATTTTTGGTGCTCTTTCAGGTGCACACATCAAAGCGATTTCGCGCGGTCGATTTCTCGCGGAATGGGGCTTGGAAGGCCTGGTCGACGAGGGCTGCCTAGTTGCAACATTCAAAAAATCGTAGCAATTAAACCAGGGCCTCCGGGGCTTCGAAAGAAACGGTTTTCGGTACTATTTTTGGTGCTCTTTCAGCTCCACATTGAAGTGCGTGATGAATTTCTCGAAATTTTTTTGGTAAATTCCGAAAGATCCATGTGGTCCCCCCTTTAGTCGTACACCATCAAAAATAAAAGTTTCAAAAAATCGTAGCAATTAAACCAGGGCCTCCGGGGCTTCGAAAGAGACGGTTTTCGGTACTATTTTTGGTGCTCTTTCAGGTGCACACATCAAAGCGATTTCGCGCGGTCGATTTCTCGCGGAATGGGGCTTGGAAGGCCTCGTCGACCAGGGCTGCCTAGTTGCAACATTCAAAAAATCGTAGCAATTAAACCAGGGCCTCCGGGGCTTCGAAAGAAACGGTTTTCGGTACTATTTTTGGTGCTCTTTCAGCTCCACATTGAAGTGCGTGATGAATTTCTCGAAATTTTTTTGGTAAATTCCGAAAAAATCCATGTGGTCCCCCTTTAGTCGTACACCATCAAAAATAAAAAGTTTCAAAAAATCGTAGCAATTAAACCAGGGCCTCCGGGGCTTCGAAATAAACGGTTTTCGGTACTATTTTTGGTGCGCTTTCAGGTGCACACATCAAAGCGATTTCGCGCGGTCGATTTCTCGCGGAATGGGGCTTGGAAGGCCTGGTAGACGAAGGCTGCCTAGTTGCAACATTCAAAAAATCGTAGCAATTAAACCAGGGCCTCCGGGGATTCGAAAGAGACGGTTTTCGGTACTATTTTTGGTGCTCTTTCAGGTGCACACATCAAAGCGATTTCGCGCGGTCGATTTCTCGCGGAATGGGGCTTGGAAGGCCTGGTCGACGAAGGCTGCCTAGTTGCCACATTCAAAAAATCGTGGCAATTAAACCAGGGCCTCCGGGGATTCGAAAGAGACGGTTTTCGGTACTATTTTTGGTGCTCTTTCAGGTGCACACATCAAAGCGCTTTCGCGCGGTCGATTTCTCGCGGAATGGGGCTTGGAAGGCCTGGTCGACCAGGGCTGCCTAGTTGCAACATTCAAAAAATCGTAGCAATTAAACCAGGGCCTCCGGGGCTTCGAAAGAAACGGTTTTCGGTACTATTTTTGGTGCTCTTTCAGGTGCACACATCAAAGCGATTTGCGCGGTCGATTTCTCGCGGAATGGGGCTTGGAAGGCCTCGTCGACCAGGGCTGCC